GCTCTCTCTCTTCACCCAGATTCTTTTCCCTTATCGAAAAGAATCTGTAAGTGATTTTACTACTTACATCCATAATCAACTATACGTCTAACATTAGTCTCGTTTCCATCACCTTATTTAGTTTACGACCTTTTACTCATCTTTATCTTTTTAATCCGTACCGTGATACCTGTTGCTTTGCACAGGTTTGTTTTTGTTCTCTTTCTATTTCTTTTCTCTTTTACTGATTGATTGTGTGGCTGCAGGTTTGTCTCTTGCTGAGCAGCTCTTAGTAGCTTTTAGTTGGCCTGTTGCCGTTACTTACCTTGACCTGATTACCCCAGGTATGCTTAGTTTAGTCTTATCGAAAAGAATCTTTTACGACCTTTTACTCATCTTTATCTTTTTAATCCGTACCGTGATACCTGTTGCTTTGCACAGGTTTGTCTCTTGCTGAGCAGCTCTTAGTAGCTTTTAGTTGGCCTGTTGCCGTTACTTACCTTGACCTGATTACCCCAGGTTTGTCTCTTGCTGAGCAGCTCTTAGTAGCTTTTAGTTGGCCTGTTGCCGTTACTTACCTTGACCTGATTACCCCAGGTACACATATTTACCGGCAACGCCAATACGCTATTTCGAGCATATCAGTTCCATTCTTTACAGCTACTGACTCCTTGGCGATTCGAGCTACTGATTCCATGGCGATTGGATCCAGTGGTTCGACCTATAAAAGGTCATTCGATTTGCGGTGAGTCAAGAGTTCCCCCACCGCTTATTCATCAGCGTTCCTTTCCTTTCCTTTCCACTTGCAGTCTCAGTATCTTTTACTTAATACTTTCTCCTTTTCCAAATAGTATCTTTTTCAAGAAAATCGCAAGTCCTTGTTATCATGAGCCCTGCCGCCGACTCCAGAAGCTATACCCAAACCACAATCCAACTTGATCCTCCTGATACCCTAGCTCCATCTTCTGCCACTTCGACTCGATCGCTTCGAGTACGGAGCCCAGTCCGACCTCGTCCTGGCTTTGTTGCCCAATCATCCGACTCGCGTCGAGCCCTTCAACTACCTAGTGTTGACGAAGATGTTTCGATTCCAACTGACGATGTAAGTGAATTTGAAACCGAGGATGATCAATCAGACGCCACCTCAATCTCAAGACTCTCAGAGACGGCTTCACTTCGAACTTCGCATATCAAGAAAAAGTCACTCAAGCCAATCAAACGTGCTATTGGCAAAGGAAAGCGCAAAGGATCGGGGTCTCGTAATGTTTCAAATTCATCACAGCAACGTCTAGCACCTGTCAAGAAGAAGAAGAAGCGAACCACGACCAAGGCCACTGATAATGTACTCGAGGTAGGTCATTGATCCATTTCAATCGATGTCTTCTATTTTCATTCTATCTATTCACTTCATCTCTCCAATCCTATCTTCCGTAAATTCTATTGCCATCTAATTGACCTCTCCTTTGAATTACTAGGACTACGAAGTTCCTGAAGGTTTGGATGTTCATCAAGACTCCGATATCGAAGTTGTTGAGACGCCTGGAGTTCGTCGTGCCCATCTTGGCCGGGTGAGCAAACTTTTGGATTACTATGACCCACCAATACACATCAAAGGCGAGGTATGTGTATCTTGTCTTTCATCTTGGACCTTGTCTCTCGCGACATGGTGAGGATGTGACTATCACTAATGTTATTGTTTCTCTCAGACTGGAGATAATCCACGTCTCTTTAGATGTAAATACTGCCGCGGATATTTTACCAAAGGCCGGCGCAGCTACTACAACTTATACTCCCATCGCGATGGATCCAAGGATCGACCTTCATGCCCCAGAAGACACCTCGCCATCAGAGAAGGTCAAGAACTCCCTCGCAGCTGGAGACAACAGCAGGATGACATCGCCCGTGTCGCCAATACACACCCCAGATCCACTCTTGATTCTTTCTTATCACAATCGACCTTCAGTGTTGAGCTTCTCAACACTGTACTGGTCATCTGGATCCTTCGCCATGGGCTACCGTTTGCCCGATTCAATGACCCTCCTCTTCGAGCAGCATTCAAGTTATCTAATCGAACTGCCACGGTGCGAGGTACCACCTGGGCGTCTGAGACTGCCAAAGGTATTTACAAGGAGCTGTCCTCTTCAGTCATTGAAACGATCAAGGTATGTTATCTTTTATTTCTATGATCAGTCTCAAACATCAGTTATTGTACTGTATTGTAAACTTACTATCATATTCACTTTCCACATCATCTTTTCATAGTCGAATCAGAGCAAATTTTGTTTACTTTATGATGTTTGGACCACCAAGGGTGGACGAAAGGCGTTTGTAGGAGTCTCAGCCACCTACATCGATGATGACTGGAAATATCAAACTCAGCACCTGACCCTGAAGCTGGTGGCCTGGCATCATGCTGGTCGATTGCTCGCCCAGCCAGTTGGCAGGTTTTTAATTTCAAATGGTTTACATCACAAGATAAGTGGTTTTTATCTTTCTCAATTTATTATTTCTTTATATCTTCCCCATTTGAGCTAACATCAACAATTGTCTTACATGTTAGCTCAAACTACGGACTCAGGAAGTTCAAATAACACGATGGCTCACGAGTTATCGGCCATGTTTAATGATTGCGAGGATCCGGTCGAATGGGACTCGACGGAAAATCAGGTGAAGTGTTACACACACAAGATCGGACTTGTGGTCAAAGCGGGCCTCAAATCTCTAGGCCTCAGTGCAGGTCACATCAAGCCAACAACCCAGCCGGGCGTGACGTTACCCACACCCATAGTGACACTGAATGATGGTCAAGATGAAATCAATTTCGATTCTTCCGAAGACAATATGGACGACAATGAGTCTATCCAAGGCGTCCGAGTGGGCCACATTCTTGATGACAACCTGTCAGACTGTGGCTTGGATCAAGATGAAGACCTATCCCTTGCTAATGTAGCTCGAGCTGTTCGAAAAGTATGTTTTGTTCTTTTACTCGTTTTCATTTGCTTGTTGATTGATTAAACGTGTTTTGATCATTATTTTGATTTGCTTTCAATGGGGTTAGGCCAAGCTATTCAACTCACTATGTACCCGAAGTTCAGCACGACGCCAGGAGTTCTTGGCTAAGGCCAAACAGTTGGATTATACCGGGCGCTCACCTATCTCTGGGTGGGGAATACGTTGGAACGTCGATGTGGATTATCTCAAACGCCTGAGCGATGCGCGCGATGTAAGTACCAGTGTGACCGTTGATTTACTATATTCCTTCCATTGACTATGACCTTTCGATCTATAGGTCATAGATGCTATACTCCTCAGTGATCGCAAGACTCGATACTACCAAAGTATCTTTATAACGCCTGAGGAATGGGATTTGATCGAGATATTGGTGAAGATACTTCAGGTTGGTACTTTAGGTTATTTTTTGTATCATCGTGATGTGTTAGATATCTTTTCCTTTGTCAATTCATTTGCTTACTCTGTTTCCTTCCTCAGGTATTTCTGTATGCCACCAAACGAATGGAGGGCAATTCAGCAACTGGCTGTGTCCTACTTGCAGAATACTCGCGGATGATCCATGATGTCGAAGTGCTTGAGAGTCAGTCGGACGACATCGAGTTGAAGAACATGCTGAAGGTCATGATCACTAAGCTTGAGGGTTATCAAGCCGAGGCAGTTGCCTCCGATGTGGTTGTGTTATCAACCATCATGAATCCCCGATTCCGCCTACGATTCTTTGATCTTAACTACCCCGATGATGTTGTTCGAGCGAAAAGTCTAATCAGGGATGCCTTTGAAGAGGCATTAGAACAATGGCCAGCTGATCCGGTCACTCCAGCATCAGATGCTATTCCCCCATCCAAAACACCTTCCCCTTCGGCCTCGCCACTTCCCACCTGTTCAGCGTACGATGTATTTACCACTCAAGTCAACTCTCAGTCGGCAGCCGACAGACGCCGAGCCGAATATGTAGATTACATCGAAGGAGCTCACTTGATGGTCACAGGACAGGACGAGCTCGACTGGTGGAAGGTGAGATTGGTTTTTGTGCTCGAATTCACCTGTGTTGCCATATGCCAGTTCTAATACTTTGGTTTTACTTATAACTTATAGGAACATGAAAAGGATTTTCCAGTCCTTGCGTCGATTGCTCGCAATTATCTCGCATTGTCTGGCACAACTTGCCCCTGTGAGCGAACGTTCTCATCAGCGGCTGATATTGCTGTGCCCAGTCGTGCGTCCCTAACCGCAAAGATGATTAGTAAGCTTGTTGGTGTGCGCGAGTGGTTGAAGAGCTCAGTCACCCTATCCGGCAAATATGCAGATGCTTGGGCCTACGTGCAAGCTTATCAAGGTCAGCAGGCCAAGGGTAAAAAGTAGCCAAAATGGTGGCTCTGAAATCAATGAACTATGTTTTCTAAAGTTTCTCTTTTGATATTTGATTTTTACTCGATCACCCCTCTGAAAAAGATGTCTCAATTGATCGATCATCCCCACTCTTCCGCTCAAAATGTTGCTTGAAAAAAAAATAAAAAAGTTGTTTTCTTTATTTCTTTATTTCTTTATTCTTTTATAAAATTTCCTTGTCTATAATTGTTTGCTCTTGTTTACTCGCTCACCCCCACTCTGCCGCCGATAATGAAATACGTGTGTGTTTACGGCTAAAACGAAAAAAACCGAGCTACTGCACTATTTTTCACTATCTTCCATCCAAAAATACCATAGCGGAGCGGAGCGGTTTATTTATGCGCTCCGCTCTCTACTTACATAGCGCCTTAGAAAATATAGCGTAGCGATCGGCGATTTTTCATAGCGCCAAATCACGCCACTATGAAAAATCGCCGATATAGCGGTGCGGAGCGGTGCGGCGGTGGTGTTGGTAGATGTCTTACTACTTATACCCATTTGTCTCAATTCTTTATTTCAGGTTCCCTTGATCTTTTTCTTCCTTCAACACTCCAGGATCAGTACACTTTAAAAAACCAGCATATCATGGGTGACAATTCTATTTGATTGTGAATTCCAGGTTACGTACAACAAGCGCTTGGTTTTGATTGATCATCATACAACACAAAATCTAATGTGAATAAAGGAAAAATAAAAACATTGAAGAAAGTTTTACAAAAACAAATCAAAAAAGGTGTCCATGAACGTTCTTCAATATTTAAATTCAAAGAAGAAAGACAAAAAAATCAAAACATCAAGAAATATCTTCATCAACCAACATGTTTTTAGATTTCAATTCAATTTTTCCTTCTTAAGATTCAAAAACTCAAGAAGTTGACCAAAGAAACCTTCCAAGAAGAAAGTTTTGATAGAATTGATTGTGTTCTTAATCCTATTTTGATAATGTTCAATTACAATAAGAATGACAAACCAAATCGAATTGATGGCAATTTTAATTTTGGTTTTGGAGAGTTTGCATATGAAGAAAACGAAGAAAAAGGCTGATAAAGTTGTGAATAACCAAAATGATTTTTGATCTAAAAGAAAAGTATTTCTCAGTATCTAGAATTTCAGAAATCTTATGCTAATGGATTGGAATTTGAAGGACTTTACAAACCATTTGTTAAATCTTGAGTTGTTAGAATTGTTGTTTGGTTTTGTAAAGTTTGTTTTTGTATAGCTTTATCAGAAGCAAAAGTATAATTCAAAGAACAGGATCCTAAGCAAGAAAAAAGACATCAATAAGTGGATTTCAACAAAGAATGCAGGATGAATGAACAAAAATGAACAATCACCTTGAAGTATGTAAGGATCATCATCATGTCTCCAACCTTCACAATCAAACTGAACCTGATCATCCTGAAGTAAAACCTTTTCTTCTGAATCATTCAAATTTGTATAAAAAGCAAAACAATTCCAATGAGAGTTTTGATTAAATTCTGTCTGGTTTGGATTTCCTTGATGATCTTGTAAATGAATCTCTTTCTTTCTTGTACATTCAACCCTTTCAAATCCATATTCATCACAAGATTCACCTAAACAATTTAACTGATATCTAGGATGAATTCTACGAAAGTTTGTAATTTCATCTTCTTGAAATTCAATAAACTCAATCGTAGAAAATAAACTCCTTTTATGATGAGAGAAAGCCATGAGAAGAAGAAAGAGTCTTAAAACAAAGTCTTTGATTCTCGTTGAAAGGATTTACCAACAGAAATCGAGAAATGTATGGAAGTTGAGTTTGAATTTGTACAATGTAAGATATCGATCAAGGGCGATTCACCAAGCGGGAACCTATGTAAAAAGCCTCCCATCTCGCAAAATTAACCGAGTCCCTCACCATCACGACGGTCGGACATATGGGTGCATCGGTGATGGCTGTTGAATAGGATTATGGAGTATGATACATGAAGTTTGATTGATTTCGGTGTTTCAAAAGGCATGAGGATCGTTTGAGAGAGATTGATGAGGAGAATGAAGTGATGATTCGAGTTCAAAGGCAAGGCAAAAGGGTTTGATCGAGGTGATTGATAGACCTATTGATAGACATACTTGGAATTATGTACGAAAGCTTGAATGATATGACGACGGTTTTACATAGATGAATACATAATTGATTAATAGAACCTAGATAGGTGGTCTGAACTCCTTTGATAGCGACATGGAGAATACATAATTCGAGTGGGGTTGAACTTGATGAAATGATAAGCTGAACCAATTGCAATTGTGCGCAGATTTTGGATAGAAATTGAAGCAAATTAAAGAAGTTTGAAGAAGAGATGATATGTTTGGGGTAATATGAATGAGATATAAGGATGTTTTAATACGTATCTTTATAGAAAGTCAGCACTCAGCTCCTAATTCAAATCTTTGAAAATGAGGAGACCATGAAGTGAGACATGCTGAGACAAGACTGCAGAGTTCAAGTGGAGTTTGAAGAAGAAATTGCAAAAACACAGGGTCACGATTTACTAATCATCAAGGTACTTAAACTCATCCGTTCATCACTTCATTCCCTTTTCTAACTTCGCTTCTCAACTCTCCATCAATCTATCAATCGTTTGATCAAGAGCATTGTAGTAGATAGTAAATTACCGATCGATTGAAAAAGTCAATGATTTACTTGAATTCGAATTCGTAAAAGCTTGAATACTTATTCTCTATCCTGTTTACCTTTTTCGATTTAGGTTTTCAAGCTGTTTACCACTTCAAGTTCCCTTTGAGGATTCCGTTGAACCTCCATCTATCATCAACTTTTTAAAGCATTCAACCATCTCTTAGTACATAGAACTCACCTCGACTACGATAGGCTGAGCTGATCATGGCTAATTCGATCATGACTAATAGTAGTCCTAGTAGTGATAGTCTTGAATCTTTCAAGGCTACAAACGAAATCGAATCAGATCAATCAACTCCTTCACCTCATCGTCATCGCCATCGTCATCACCATCCTTCTTCGAAACATCAGAATCAACTTCAGCATGATTCAACCTTTGACTTCATCACTCAATCGACCTCAAAATTAAATAAGTTCATTCAGTCAGTCACTTTGAAGTTTTTGATCAACTTTGGATCTTGGTCATCCCTCAATCCAATCGAATTGATCGTTGGTACTTTGGTCAGTACCATATTTTAATTCATTTCCTCATCTTGTTATATTTCAAAACTAATCGTCACTGTTTCTTTCCTTTTCAGATCATTATCACTCTTGCTTACTTTCAACTTTTGAATGCTGTTAAACATTCTGAATTTTTGAATGTGTCTCATTCAATCCAATCTCATCCTTCTTACAATTCATCGAATCAATTTATCAATCTAACTTATCATCCTGACCATCAAACTTGGACCCCTTCAACTGCTACTGATTACAATCAACTTGATCAGATTCAATTGATTCAATTTCATCTTACTTTACCTGCACAATCAACTCAACTTGACCCTCAACATGTTCATGACCATCTCAAAGAAGTCTTATTCAAAAATCATCACCAGAAACATCTTGATTATTCCGATGTTTGTTACAAGCCAAAGTCAGAAAAAGCTACATCAGATCTCAATGATTGTTTTCTTCATATGGACTCCACCACTTCAAATCCGTTGATCATCACTTTGGCTTTCAATCAATCATCTCAAGCTTGGACTCAATCCTTTTTGGATCACTTACCACCTTCTTTAGTCCTATCTTCAAATTTCGATCATGAGCATCAAAGGCTGGGAGAGATGAGATCAATTAGATGGATCGCTTATGCTACTCGTGCCTTCATCATCAGATTTTGGCTATTGACTAGGAATGCCAAGTCGGCTGATATCTTTATCATGTTGATAGCCTATTCAGTTATGCATTTAACGTTTATCAATCTGTTTAGGAATATGCGCAAATTGAGATCAAAAGTTTGGCTTGGTACGTGATCTTTTCGATTTTTTTTAAACCTTTCAACTTTTGATACTCATCTCCTCTTGTATACAAACAGGTCTGGTCACTTTATTATCATCCATATTTGCCTTTATTTTGGCTCTCATCACCGCACACGCATTTCACATTCGAATCAATCCAATTTTGCTTTCTGAGGCTTTACCGTTTTTAGTCATCACCATTGGTTTTGATAAACCCTATATCCTGGCTCATGCTCTCTTCACCAATCCCAACCTTTCACCACCTCATCTACGTCGTCACTTACCTAAACCTGCCCTTCGTGCTAGAGACGTAGTCGTGGAATCTATTGAGCGTGTAGGTGTAAGGATCTTCAGGGATTATGTCATCGAGATGACTGTACTTGGTTTGGGTGCTATGAGTGGCGTCAATGGTCTCACCGAATTCTGTCAACTAGCTGCTCTCATTCTCGGCTTTGATTGTTTACTCTTGTTTGGTTTCTACGTGTCAATCTTGACTGTGTTTGTTGAGGTGAGTGGAATTCATCTCATCTTCAACTTCAAAATCCACTAATCCATAATTCCTTCTCTCAATTTTCCTTATCTCTTAGCTTCATCGGATCCAGATCAATCGACAACTTTATCGTACCGATTCCACCACTGAGCTCTCTAAACTACTTGACGATGGCAATTCACCTTCGGTAGAAACCGTAACTGATCAATTAGCTCAAAAGGAATCTATTCGATCGGTTCGAAATAAACTCTTCAACCTCTTTACTGCCAACGATGATTCTAATACGCCATCTACTGCTGTCGTCGGTACCAGCCGCGTCAAGTTGATTTTAATCTGTCTTTTCCTTTCTCTCCATGTTCTCAACCTCTGCACCACTCTTACTGCCAACACAGCCTTTACTCGGTACACTTCGCACCCCTTTCCTACTACTACAGCCACTGCCGCGCTCAAGATGCCCAATCGTACTGCCAGCTCTTTAGCAAAAATGCAATCTGATCTCGCTCCTTCGTCAATGATCAAACAAACCTTCCCTGAAGCTTACAAGCTACCACTCCAACAATTGGTGACCGAATCTTTACCTACATCTGAAGTTGATCTGACGGTATCAATTCTTCCGGTGGTACAACTTGCGGTCATGCCTTCACGTTTATCTATTTCAAAATTCAATCCCAGTGATAGTAGTCCCACTCGATTCGGCTCGTCATCCTCATTATTTGTTTTAGATGAATTCATGTCATCATGGACAGCATTTGTGGGAGATCCTGTGATGTCGAAGTGGATAGTACTTGCACTTGGAATCAGTGTGTTACTAAATGCTTATTTACTGAAAGGGATTGCTACTAGTTCTTTGGATGAAGCCAGGAGGTTTGAAGATCGTGGCCATCAACGACATGCAGCTTCCGTTATAGCCAGAGGTCGTCGTCGCCATCTTCTTGAAGCCGAAGAAGAGGATGAAGACGAAGTAGAGGATGAAGCCTTTGCTTCGCTCACACCTGCTGAACGCGCTGCTAGAATCTTACTGGCGTCAACCAGCGGCGGGATCAATGTTTATGGTGGAGAGCGAATTAAAGGTCGAAAGCCTCGTCGGTCGAGCGTTTTGGGACGTACAAGCGGTGAACCACATCTCAGGAGTCATCTCATACATCATTCTAGAGGCCAAAGTCAACCTCAAGCAAGCAGATCCAAAACTACTCAAACTTCTATCGAAGCAGAACAAGTTCCGCAACCTGCAGTATGTCCTGCACCAGATCACGATGAATCAGATCGAGAGCCCTCGAAGAAGAACGTGGAAGAAGCGGTAAGAAGAGAAGTCAGTGATGTTATATCCAACCCGATAGCTCGTGCCCCCATTCAACCTCAATCGGATGAAATCGCTCCTGTATCAGCATCAGTATCGATGACACCTACCTTGAAAGGATTTGGTGCTGCCGGTTCTAAGCCTACGATCTCGTTTACTCCCTTCAGCCCTATCACACCATCTATTTTTTCACCATCGGCGACTGAATTTGACCGATTACCTAACCGACCCTTGGAGGAATGTGAAAAGATCTTGAAAGGTTTCGAAACAGGTGCAGAGAATTTAACAGATGAGGAATTGATTGAATTGGTTCAGAATGGAAAGTTAGCTGCTTATGCTCTTGAGAAAGCATTGAAAAAGGATTTGGTCAGAGCTGTTAGAATTCGAAGGGCATTGATTTGTTAGTGATTTTCTTGATTGATTTTTATCCTGAGATGTATGTCATAGCTGATGCGCTTTCGCTTTTGTCTTTGGGAATAGCACGAGCGTCGTCAACGAAGACCTTAGAGAGTAGTCAATTACCTTATCTTCATTACGATTATTCTTTAGTAATGGGACAGTGTTGTGAGAATGTAGTAGGCTACACACCTATCCCTATCGGAATAGCAGGACCGTTGAGGATTGATGGAAAAGCTTTCCCGATTCCTATGGCTACGACTGAAGGAGCATTGGTGGCATCAACTTCCAGAGGATGTAAAGCTTTGAACGCATCAGGAGGTGTGACTACCGTTATCACGGCAGATGCGATGACAAGAGGCCCAGCATTAGAATTTCCCAGTTTGAAAGAAGCTTGTCAAGCCAAAGAATGGATCGATTCGATTGAAGGATCGCGCAAATTGAAAGAAGCCTTTGATTCAACATCCAGATTTGCTAGATTAGTTTCCCTAAAAGCTGCATTAGCAGGTCGGACATTGTTTGTTAGATTTGGAACTCAAACGGGAGATGCGATGGGAATGAATATGATTTCGAAAGGTACAGAAAAAGCATTAGCTTTAATGGGATCAGAAGAATTCTTTCCAATGATGAGAGTGATCAGTTTAAGTGGAAATTATTGTACAGATAAAAAACCGTCTGCAATGAATTGGATTGAAGGTAGAGGTAAATCAGTTGTAAGTGAAGCGATTGTAAAAGGAGAAGTGATGGAGAAGGTTTTGAAAACTACTGTACAAGAGATTGTGAAATTGAATGTGACTAAGAATTTAGTGGGAAGTTCAATGGCTGGTAGTATTGGTGGAATGAATGCACATGCTAGTAACATCTTAACAGTCAGTTTTTCCATTGATTTCGTTTTTACACAGTCATTAACTGATCTGGCGCTCTGGGTTATATAGGCAATCTATTTGGCTACTGGACAAGATCCAGCACAGAATGTGGAAAGTTCGAATTGTATGACTTTGATGGAACCGATCAATAACGGAAGAGATCTTTTAATCACGTGTACAATGCCATCCATTGAAGTGGTAAGCATTTCTTAAAAACTCATTTTTAAACATGTTCTCTTTTTGTCTATGATTTTTGCTAATCCAAGTTTCTATTTTTAAAAGGGAACCATTGGAGGTGGGACGATTTTAGCACCACAAGGAGCTATGTTAGAGATGTTAGGGATCAAAGGATCACATTCTACTACACCAGGTGATAATGCTAGAATGTTGGCTAGAATTGTTTGTGGATCAGTTATGGCTGGTGAATTGAGTTTAATGAGTGCTTTAGCTGCTGGTCGTACGTGACTTTTCCCCACACTTACCTTATTTCAAACTGTCTTTTAACTGATGATGTGTTTTTGGTTGGGGGGAATAGATTTAGTAAAGAGTCATATGGCACATAATCGATCAGTAACTAATACACCTACGATGATGAGATCACCAGCAATGAGTAGAACGAATACTGGATTACCATTGAATGCTAGAATTGGAGGGATTGGAACAGGAGGGATTGGAAAACCATCTAAATTGAGAATTGAAAATGAAACCACCCATGAAAAGTAATGCATGATTATTATTTTTTTCGAAAAAAAAAAAGCAATTTAAGAAACCCAATGAAGTTTTTTTTTAGTTTCACTTGATTTTTTTTATATATACACTATACAAAAAATAAAAAAATAAAATAACTGAATTATACATGTGTGTGTGTTTTTTGTTTTACATACATTTGAGAGTTTAAATATATCTTATTATGATTTTTTGTTTAGGAAATTAGGGGGTGTCAAGTTTGTTTTTTTTACGGTTTTTACCGTAAAAATTCTCTCCCGCTGTAGCATAAATTTACACAAATTTTATGCAAACGGGAGAGGATTTATGTATCCCGTTTGCGTAAAACGTAAACAATTTATGCTTACAACATTTGATCAAAGAGCTCGCCTTGACCGATTCGCTCTGAGACACAGTGGGCTTAATAGTGGATGCAAGGACAACCTTGCATCCTTTTACCAGCAGTTTTCACCTCACCAGGTGGATGATCGAGGCCAAAATGTAAAAAAACCTCAATCATGGTTTAGCAGTTATTAAACAACCACGGCTAAGTTTTTTTTGAGTTATAACATAAAAACTTAGCCGTTTCATAGTTTTTTTTGTTATAAAAAATCAAACTTGACACCCCCTATTTTTATAAAGTTTACTACATAAAAAAACAAACAATATCATTACTTCTTTTTCTTTTTTGGTTTTGGTTTTTGTCTTTTTGGTATTTTGAACATTTGAATTAATTATTGATATTTTTTCACTCGAGTTTTTGGCTGCTTGTTTCTTTGTCAGTTGATGAGTGGGTTTTTTTGGTTTAAAATGATGAAAGAGACAATGCACAGGGTATCCACCAGTAGTTAGTGAGTGTGTAAGCAAAAGGTGATCAATTACCGTGCTTGTGGACAAGAAAACAAAGGGTGGGTATACGCACAAAGTCCTTGTCCCTCATTTCTTTTGACCTTGCAGAGAGGAATCTTAATTCCATTTTGTCGCATACTGGCCATATGGGTAGGACCTTGATTCCTGAGGGCGTCGGCCAGGTGACATGGCTGAACTTCAAGGTGACATGTCACGTGACATATGAGCGACGAATCCGGCCCCCTAGTTTCGGTTCACTCAGACCGCTCAGTAGCGTTGGAGAGTGATACCATCTGGCATCAACGCTTAATATCTCAATGGCCTCACATTCAAGTTCAGTCGGATCAGATCCATCGCCGCCAATATTATATTCTGAAGATGAAGAAACTGAACCAAAATCTAGACCGCATAGCTCTTCGATTTCCTCTCTGTCTGAAAATCCCGATGATCCGGATGCCGACGCAGATGGCGAACCAGATGACGAGGACGTGGACGCAGAAGGTGAATTAGATGGAATTTATGAAGAGGAAGATGAAGATGGGGAAGAATCTCAAGGTGGTGGTTCAGATGATCAAGATTTTGATGAAGGTGAAGAAGCCATGGAGTTGGATGATTCAGAGGCTGACGTCGAATCAGGATCGCGCAACATCAAGCCTGTTCCTGTTCCACTCGATGCTAATGAGGATAGTGGAGAAGAGATGGACTTGGATGAAAACTCTTCTTCAGTACAACCATCACCACCTCCTATTAAGAAGCCTTTGGTACTCAAACTCAAGCTTGGTAGTCAACCAACTAATACGAAGGCTCAAACTGTGCCTGCTGAACCATCTTCAACTGGTGATCCCTCTTTGGCTACATCGAATAATAAACGTAAAAATGCTCGAAAACCTGCGAAAGCTACGAAGGGACGTCCAAAAGGCTCGAGCAAAAAGGCAAGCGCATCAGCAAAAAAGAGGGATACTGGTTTGTGTTTCGTTATACCTTGTTTATAATACGCCGATCTCTCATCAATACAAGGGATATTGATTTTATTCATTCCTTTTGACATGTAGACGAAGAAGACGAATTGGCCGGTGACGCTACAGCTTCTTCTAGCGAACAAGATGAGCCAGCAGCACCAAGTGGATTATATCAAGCTTGGGATGAATCAGATGAAGGTTCGACTCAAAACCATGGACAATTAACCGTACGACAGCGTGCAAAAGAATGTGGTAGTCAGGTTACTGATCTACAATCCTTACCGATGAGTACGTTTTTGGTTCGCAAGAGAAGAAAACAATCCTAGATATGATTCAAGGAAAATTGATGATGTTTTTCTTTTTATGTTGGGAATAGCTGATGCAAAGAAAAAGAAAGAGTTAACTGAAGCTGATCGAGCGATTAAAAAAGCAGAGAAATCACGTAAAAGGAAACATCAAAATGAAAAGAAGTTGGAGGATGAGGTCAGTAATCAACTCTATTTGATTGTTCAGGCTCTAGACCCGAATGCTCAACGAGCGTCGTGTTTCTGTCTTCATAATAGAAAACGGAAACCATCAACCGGCTGTTGAAAGGACAAGTGGGTAAGGCGGGTCGCACAGCAGCTTCTCGAGCAGCTTTGGATGCGGAGGAAGGTGCAGCAGCGGCCCCAGCGGCTGCAAGTCCAGTAGCGCCTCGACCTTCGACCCTTCTACGGTATACCTCCAGCATTCGATCTGGGAGTTATGTGGCACAACTTAGTCTTCCGATGGAGATCGCTTTACCCAAGGGTATCCTTACAGATGGCAATACTTCCGTAGTTTATCCTCCTCCTCGGCCTCCACCCAAGACTTGGAAACTTGTGAATGGAGTGCGTGTAAATTGATGGAATGGAAGTGTAGGCTCCAGCGGTGTGGTACCATTGTATTGAATATAATTGTTGTGTCGATGAAAGATTATCGAGTCTTGTACATTACAAAGGAGATGAAGATATGGAAGTGGTCAAGTATACCAATTTGTATAAATTGAACTCGTTAGGCAAAAATGGTCGCAATGAAAAATTAAATTAGAATGGTAGCCTGGGACAGAAAATGATCTATTCAGACATCGCGGTCAGTTTGGTATTTTGTTCCGAGACCAGAAACACATTATATACACCCTTCGGCATTTCATCATTCTGTGACAATTTACTTCCTCAAGACAGAATACGGGACAAGTCCTCATCAGAACAATTAGACCAGCACTTTATTAAATTATCTCTAATCAAGCAGATTGTTCAATTGGAAAGATATTTTCAAACTGACAAATATGCGGTCATCGGTCGATCATCGACCGGGTATACAAGAAGCAAATGTTATATATTGTTTGTGGATATGCATATTAAAAAACAGAGTGAAAGTGTCCGACAGAGTCCAAGTAGAGATGAAATGGATAATAGTAATTAACAATGTAAAATAACGGCAGGAAGCCTTGAACTATGACAGTGTAATAAAAATTGTTCATGTGATGGGTAGGAGTGAGATTTAAGTATCCAAGTATGCAAGACATGATCTCACATAAGGACAAGAAGTTCAGCAGCACGACTCTTTCCGCCATCAAGGAGGCCGTGGACAACACCATCAACAACACCGAATAGACCAGAGAGAGGAAGGTTGAGTATGGCACGAAGGTCAATGTTTACCGAATCGAAAAGCAGGAGGTCAATTCCGATACTCATCAAGATACTACCAAGGTCAATATCCAGACTATGTGCAATGCCAGTGATAGCATGGATAGAGGCCGAGATGAGCTCGAATTCGGCTGCACAAAAGCTACATCAGTGGACTAGTAGAAATAGACAGATATGGAAAGAAATACTGACAGAAACATTGGTCTAGGTGTGAGTTATACCGCTCAACAAGGATTGAGATGATGGATTGCATTACTATGAAGAAACCTTGTACAGCGCTCTGAAACTTCAGTCAAATTAAACAAGATCAGTTATGATTACGAAGAGAAATGAAGAAGGTACTTGATCAAAGACAAACTTGAAAGGCCCTGCTCTTTTGACAAGTCCCACAACCGATGCTATATTGTTGGAAAAGTTCAAAACAGCTGGTTGCCATTCTGTGTACCTCAACTTGAATCACTTGAAACTTTTTGTTGGTTTTCTGCCATTCGATGACCGTATTGGCGCAGATAATAGAAAATGATTGTATTCCTTGACAAACAGAGGGGAAGTCTTGCATCAACCCCCCGTAGCCAATGTGATCTGACCAAGTAGTTGTAATCGACCTAACGGTATTTACTTCCGAGTCACAGCCACCCCAGCACTTGGTAGTCGCATTATTTCTGTTGTTAAAATATGAACTTCAACACCTCGAGTTATTCTACTCAGTGAGGACTTGAATAATAAACATACTTGTCGACTCCAACTATTGCCGATGAGATGGTAGACAATCTGGCCATTTATATGTGATTCATTGTTAGAATGGAATAACCAAAATACATAAGTGGTATTGAGACTTACATTGTTGACGATGGCCAGGCCCAAACGTGCGCTAGATCAAAGAAGTCTTATTAGCGAGCTTGAGGAAAGTGAATCCAAAGATTTGAATCGTAAAACAGCTCACCAATCATGAGGAGGATAGCGACAAGTTTCATGTGAGTGAACAAAAGTAAAGTGAGAAAGTTGAGCCAGAGCCTACTTTGAAGATGGTCAAATGACACTATGAAAGATAAAAGTGCTTTAATAGTGCCTTTAAGTTTGAGATGAAGATGAATGGGATTTGATATAGCATTCATTGACGGCTTATATCCGCGCAAGTACGTATAAGAGAACAACGGACGTTGCTTATATCCCGCGTTTCCCTCCTCTTGGCACTGACCAACTTGACCGACTTTGATTGAAAAGGTCAGACGTGTGATATGTTAGTCAGCTGTGCCAAAATGCTATCTATTGTCTATCTCGAGTCTCCGCTCTCAAATCCCGGCAGTTGGGTTTGCAGAAATGGGAACAGGATTGTCGAGTGTGTCGACCACTACGTAGATCTTTCATATTTAACTGATACATTGGAGCTATTGAGAAACCTGAACGCGCTTTCTGATTCCAAGCGGGCACATATACGAAGCAACAATGTCATGAGTTGACGCGTATAATACGTAAATATGCCAAGGCCTTTTTCAGACTTTTTGTAGAAGAAACTCTTGGTGCTTCTCACGGTGTGCTCTGGTGTGCTTGGGTCCAACTGTTATGCTCTTTCAACCTGGGACACGTGCAAAGTCTAGACGGCCGACATGATACGAACGAAACATGCAATCTCGAATGGTATCTCATGTGACAGTGCTACCAAGAACCGATAAGTATCTTTACAGTTTGTTAGAACCACTGCACGTTGAAGCAAGTGTTGGGTCTGAATGAGTGGCACGTCTAGGATATATCTAGTTAGTATTTGATGAGTCGTAGACTTTAAAAAGGGTTCACAAGAACAATCACTTTCTTGAATGTGGCACATAATCATAGTCTCATTTTTTTCATTCACGATTCACCAGGAACATGACATTTTTAATAAATCAATAAAATAAAGATAAGCCCCAAAAAAGGAATAAAGGTCCCTGACCCCTGATACACCGACTGCCGGAGTGATTTGATAGGTTTGTTTGAGAGAATAGGGTTACGCATCACCTTTATCCCGAGGATGTTTGCAAGCCGAGGTAGCCGTTGGGTCGACGGAAGAATTATGGTCACAGTCTCCTATGAGCTGGGACCACTCGTCGATTATCTGATCATTCAACCTAGAGGGTTTTTTTGCAATTGTTGAAAATCGTCAGAAACTTCAAAAACTCATGAACAAACTCAATGTTTCACACTCACGGTTCTGTTGCAGCCTTGTAGCCTGGTATATGATTCTCAACTTTGCCGTCATCGTCTTTATCTTCCATATCTTGTTTTTCGTCTGGTCCAGGGATTGTGGAGAGTGCACCAGAGAGCAAAGTTGTCAAGGCATCACTTTTCATTTGAGCGGGAGCATATGGGTCATCGGATTCGGATGCATCTGAACCTGCTCGAGCCAACAGGAAACCGGGAGATGGAGTCAGCATATTATCATTGTTTTTTGAATTCAACTTTCTCTATACATAAGGTGTGAATGTACTTACGTTTTAGGTGTGTATGTTGTGAGGGATCGTCGGTTGGATCCATCCAATTCATGCTGCAACAGTAAAAAACAAAAATTAGCATCAAATGACTGAGATGACTGCAAACTAGAAATCATGAGCCTCTGAAAGACTTACGCCAGCATGTCTCTTCTTGCCACATGGATTTTATAACCATCGCCGCGTTTTTGGAGCAACATGTCGGCATGTCCTGGTATATGAGCTGCCCAGGAGGTGTACGGCAAGGCAATGAAAACTGAAATGTGAGCTAGTGTGAATGAAAAATACATGCTGGTGTAGATTGATGATGAATTGATAATGTAGGGATGAAGAGTGTAGAAGGTGCAAAATGTAAAGTCAAGATATGGTAGTTACTGATCTGGGGCAATGAAGTTGTACGTCGAAAGTTATTCAATGGGATGGATAGGATAGTGAGTTAACGGAAGTCAGATGACAAGCTCCATTTATAGCCAGTAGGCATGACTTTCGATGTATGAAGATGGCTAACAATCTCCGGCTCTGATCAGGATGAATAGCGAGAGATGGCGGACGAGGTTCAATCCAGTTAGTTTAAGCCGTTTCCGGTGTTTTAGTACGTACCGGTCGATATTTCTCGGCTCTGTACTTCATGACAAATCACGGTCTGCTTCTACTTACCAAACCCGGGCTGCTGAAGACGAGAGCTGACTGGATGAAAGCTTCCATCTGCGGTTGATATCTATACACCCTACACCTCATTTCAGCTCACTCTGACTCCGACTAAGGCACCAGACACCCGCCATCGTCACATCATGAATGGATGGGATTCGCTTTCACTTCACGGCCTCGTCGACATTGCCATCAGTTCAATGGCACCAGGCCGTTTGAGTCGATGCTGCCCTAGCTCCCATCCAGTCGCTGGAAAAGAACTACAGATTGTTGGGGGCATCCGGGTCGGTCAGCTGAGAAATGCCCAGCAACCTTTGCTACAAGGTGCACCATGTAGGCTGACATTGATCGCCTTTCAACAATCACGATCTTTCGCCAACATGAATAAACCTGTCGCGTTCTATGTCGCGGGCAAGGGCGAACGATTCCATTCATGCTTGTGAGCACGCGGATAATATCACCTGAAACAGTTTGTATTCAAATACCTTTGCGGATTTTAGACATCCAATATCCGACAAGTTTTGTTTGTTCGACACATGTGCTCCCACTCTCAGCACCGTGAAGCGTTGAATGAATCGTTTTAGTGAGACAAAGCAGAGTGATACAGTAGACTATACATGCGATTCCATTTTGGGATCCTCAGAGGAACTCCATTTCCTCCAGGCTCATAATGGTGAGGATCTGGTCCAACTTCCAACTTTATCCTCTAGACCGTTCAAGATGATCTTTTTTACCCTCTTTTGTACAATCGTTTTCCTTGCCTTTTCGATTATAGCTTCTCAAGGTGGACCAGAAACATATGCGCCTGCATGTACCAATGAAACCCGGATATCAACGCGAGAATGGAAAAATCAAGATGTGGACAACTATTTGCTCAACTACCCTGGTGGTCAGGAGATGAGCTTTGCGGTGGGTCTTACTACTTGCGACTACATTTTTAGATCGCCCGCGATCAATCTTGAATGTGTGCTCAAGTGCTCTCTCCTTTTTGTTTTCGTTAGCAATTCACTAATTCTATTGGAGTTTTGAACTTTCGATGTGGTCTTGGTCAAGAATGCCTGGCCGGACAACTTTGCCAAAGTGGGATTAAGCCAATTGATTGGGAAATCCTTTACGCCGTGCAACAATGGAATTTTTGGATGAATAGCATGTATCAAGCATCAGCCTTTGCAATCTCAATGGTCCAAGGTCAGCCCTCACCTCGGTTTTTTGCTTGCATAAACACTCTGCGAGTATCCATACTGATAAGCCTTTTTTTGAAAATATCAGAAGCGATCTCTTCGCTCATCGTTGATCTGTGAGTTATTGTTGATTTGATCTGATCTTTGTTTCAAGGAACTGATGTGCAGTGACCTCCCTAGGGCAGTTAAAGACACCTCTTACAGGGAAGCAATATCGATTTTAATCTTCAGCTTCCTGGGTGCTGCCTTTGTAGGTGACCTTATCATCGGGACAAGTTTTCTCAGCTAGCGGCATATTCTTACCTTTAAATTTATCCAAACGATTTACTTTCTGTAAAATCCTGGATCTCGCCGAATAGGCCGGATTGATCCTTACACTGGTAAGTTTAGACTTTTCAACAAATAAGCCATGTTGATTTTCCATAATGCTGAAAGAATGTCCATGTGACTAGTACGCCGGAGCAGTTATTGCAGCATTAGCAACTTCACTGGTGGCTACTTCCATTTGGATGAGAGCAACCGACGACAGCCTCTCTGAGATCATTCGCTACGATGTATGTGATCTCAAATTAGCATCAGCTCTTATTCGGTCCCGAAAATGAGCTCTTGTCACGTTGATAATATCTAACCATTAAACTCATCATGACCTAAATCTCGCCATTTATTTAAATCAAGTGGAACGAAATCTCATACTATTTCCCAATTTGGGAATCTAGACTTCATTCAGGTTTAACTAATTACTCAGATCAAACATTGAATTCACCTTTAAGTTCTCAACAAGGTATCTTTGGTGCAATCAAAGGCGGTGAATTTGTTGATTTGGAATTGCGATCCAAACATACGGTTTCAGAATTACAGCAAGGCTTGAAAACGGTCATCCTCACACGAGCAGTTGTCTTGATCCTTCGCTCAATGGTAAGATTCTCACCTTCAGATGTCATATCAGATGGATCCTTGCGTCAAGTTGTACTTATTTGAATACACATACCTCAGAATGCTTTCATAACCCGAGGAAAGGTGTGTCAACAGCTCTTCGTACAATATTTCTCGCTCTCACAATACAATTCAATCAATATTGAGAAAATCGATTCTCCTAGGACAAATGCACGGATCGTGGTCTAGGCGGAGCTTGGCACAAAGTAGACCGCATATCATATTGTGACGAGAATGGAGTGTAAGCTTATCAGTCCAAATTTTCCACATTCCCTTGGAAGTCGCAATGATTGATGACAGTCCTTCCCAAATATGTTGAAGAATGATGAATATCATCCTAGCAGATGAAAACAGATCTGTCAATTCAATTCATAACGGTCGGCTAATTTCGATGAAATACGGTCTGACGGCTGAATTCCTTACTGTATCATCGTGGACATGTCAACAAACCTACAATGGAACTTTTGCCCCTGATCCTTACAACAAATTGTGAGTAATTTGTTCTTCCATCGCCTTCTCTCTTCAAGATTTTCAACTTCGAAGAAAGGTAAAATACTAAAGCTACAATGTTGCACCTTGAAACCTATTTTTCTTATTAAAAGGGCATTCCCAAGTGATCCAAATGCTGAATGTGTAGCCAACTTACCCGTATGTGATTGCACAACACCAGGTGAGTGTGTAACCCAAAAAAATCTTTTATAAAACAGTACAAATCAACTAATCCATCTATGCCTCAGAATTCCACAAATTGAAAAAATCCGGGAAGACTACTGTTGAAGCCTGTAGAAAACTAGGACTACCCATCTGACTGTGATATCTATGAGGATAGATTGCATGCAAACCATAGTTTCTTCTCATTTAGCTCATCAGTTCAGCTAAGATTGACACTTGATCCTTGAATACTCAGAGAACCCAAAGGCTCCTCTTATCCAGTTTGCGGGGGATCTGGGGTGCGTATGTACTACAGATCAGAAAGACTTCCTTCTTGAGCCTTATAGCTGATAGGACTCGAGCTAGTGAGAGATGCAAGAGAGACGTGAGATCTCATTTTGACTTCCAAAATGATTCTAACGTGATGCACTGATTGGATGGCACACTCAGAAAAGTTATTACTAAGAGGCTTGGGCGCGTGGAGGTATTAAGAGACTTTCTGACATATGCATGGTGGCGCCCAATCAAGTCAACACTGGATTTTCATTGACTGTTTATGGTTATTTACCCTTTCTTACGCAAATGTATGGGTCTCGAACTCCTCTACGTGGGGACAAGTCTTATGGGGTCTTAACACAAGTTCATCAGCATCTTGCCCAAGAGGCGCCGAGGTAAGTATCTTCCACAAGGGACAAACACCACCATGTTCACCAGGTTTGGCATGAATATCTTGGGTCCTAAACGTTGGCGAGCCAAACACGGCGGTAGTGAGTTGATGACGCAAGGCTGATCAACAAAAGATGTACAAGCGAAAAAGATTTTAATCACAGAAATAGATTGAAGCAGTTTGATAGCACTATAAACTGACATATCAATCATCTTGTGGCTTATCAATATTGCTAGTAGTTGCTTTGTGATTCATACACTTGTGATTGATTTGAATGTTATGACAACGTGTTTGATTTTTTTATTCGAAAGGTTCATCATCCTGTTTGAAAAATTCCCTTTTCTCTCTTGAACTCAATCATATTATAACAATCTTCATTACCTTCAGGTTGTTCTCATGTGTTTGATCGGCCCATGTATTTACAACGCCCAAAGTCGCACACTGTTGTTCCAAAGGAGATACCGTCAGTATGAGGACAGGAGGAATAAGAAATATGATTGAGATGAAGATATATACATGGGTAGTTCCCCCGGTTGCTTTCGAGCAAGCAAACGAAGTTTTGGGGGCCCGGGTATCCACGCGCGGATCCTTTTGTACCCTCTGAAGAGCGTATATATTTGCGTGCTTCCATCAATATATAGCAAATTTGACCCACACAACGATATATGTAAGCATATCACTGACCTAACCATGGGGAGCTCATACCGCGTTGATAGCCATGCGGTGGTGCATGGTAGAAGGCATCAAAACTTTCGGCGTGGACGTCAAGATCCCAACCCGTACTCAATGAATGTTGGAAAGGAGTGTCATATATTGCACATCTGTGAAATGTGATTTGGCCTTTGGTGGTCGTTGCGGCTGTTGGAGGAGTAGAATCAAACATCACATTGAGTGCAGGGCTACATTGTGTGACAAAGGGAGACTTACCACTGTTATTGATAGTGCAGGAGGAAAGCGGACAATCGTACTTTGCACCTCCAAAGTTGGTACAATCTAGATCAAGAGGTTACTACATGACATCGCTGGAGATGGCGCTCGTAAAAGAACCAAGACAAACATAGCCTCACCTGCGCGATCCTTTTTGATCTCCCAATGTAACGCACACTGCCCCATTTCCAAAGAAAACACGCCGAGGGTGCTGAGGATACAGAACGCTACGAAGACCTGCTGGATAGTCGACATCTTTAAGACAGCCATTGCGACTGCATCCAAAACCAGAATGAAACGACCTTTCAGAACCCGTGCAATAGGGAGACACGATCTTATCGATATCCCTCGCTGAGAATAGAAGAAATTCTTACAGAACAAAAGGAAGTGAATATTACTGGACTCGGTTGAGAGAAAGCAACAGAGAAAGTCGACCAGCGACTTGTATGAAGCAAAATAATTGTATCAAGAAGATCTAGTGTCCTTTGAAGAAAAAACAAGTCTTTATGGCTAATTATGACAGAGGTGAAGACTTTGGAGGCTATGTGAAAAATAAAGCACTCCAATCCTTAGCCTTTTTATACCTTCTCAGGCTGATTGATATTACCAGCTACTTGCCTCTTGGAAACAAAACGGCTCACGGTACAATAATGTCTTTCTTGGACGACTTTGGATTGTTCTACAAGAAATGGTTTCCAAGTTGACTAGAGGAGGCTTGCACACTTCTCTACGCCAAATGTGACTTTAAATCATATTCCAATAACCGGTGTAGGTTGCTTCGCAACCCTTCAAAGCCCATGTGCCACGTGAGGCTATGTAGAGATGAACGCGATGTTTACATACATATGTACCGTACGTCAGGTGCGAAGCACGTGGACTGGCACATAGTGAACTTTGACTCTGGGCCCTTCTGGGCCTCTGATGCATCTCTGCCTTAATTACATAACTCTCTCCTCAAAGCACAGACATCCTCTGGAGCCTGTCCGGGGGCCGCGGTTTGTGGGGCTTGTGTTAAGCTAGAGCCTAGGATACACCCCATTCCTGGACCATTTGTAAGGCAAGAGGGAGGGACAGGGAGGAAATTTGATAACCTTGATTTAGAGTTCACAAAACCAGAAACATCCAGAAACATCTTCAAGTTTCAGCCACACGTGTTGTTGGCCAGGTTTCTTGCTTCACTGTGGAACTCCTTTGCGCCCTCGCTATCAATAACGGCTTCACGACCGTTTGAGCGCGGCAAACGCGCTTGTGAGATCAAGATGTGCTCCGGCCGGTATCCGGCGGCTTCAGGCCATTCCAACAACCGAATCGACGGATATCTTGTTTTATCCGCACCGATCGGATAACATCCAATCGGTTTTTTTTTCAAAAACCCCTCATCCGACACTCGAACCGGTACACCGGATACGCCGGATTTTCGCCGGTTAGCCGGAGTATCCGGCGTATATCCGGCAATTATTTTTCGCCCACCCATTCCGAATACCGAACCGGCCGGATTACCCGGCCACCGGGTAATCTTGAAGGCCTTTCCGGCATCCGGATCTGACGGAGCATCCGTTGGATATCCGGCCAGAACCCGGGTCCAGGTCTCATCTTGATTGCAAGAGGCTTGGTTAAGCTTAGGTTCATACATACGTGGAAACCTCAAGTCAAGTTCACATGGCGCTATGTCATAATCATATACACCAAGCTAACTAAGCCCCTCTTGTGTGTTTGCGGCGCCGCAAACGCACAAGAGCTGCCAGAGGGGCTTCAAACTTGATATATACCGTATTGATATGTAGATCTTTGCCAGTATTAGAAGCTTGTTTTTATCCCCACAGGTGTCCCAAAAACTATTTGGCCAGTGGTGACTCTGTAACTCAGCATATGAATTATGAAATGACATTAATGGTGACTGATGTATGTACGTAGATGAGATACTTCTGACAAAGTTATTGGACAAGACAAAAAGAGAAAGCCAAGGATGTTCAAGAGAGAAAGCATAGGATCTGCGTCAAGTTTTTATACATACTATGTATGCATCTTTGTTTGCTGAGACAACACCTTTGAGAGAGGTACAGACTGGACGGACACAATGTAGTTTTCTTCAGGGGGCATTAGTAAAACTGTATGTAACATACTTTTTCAGGAATAAAACAACATCCTGGACAGGTAACAACTAAGATGAGCTGCATGGCAAGTGGGAGCCAATAACAATGATTGCACCAGAGCAATCACATTGACATGGCCAGTGTTTACATTTCATCTTGGAATACATGTCTGATATTCTGTACACCACAGCCAACATTGTCAGGTTTCAATCCATAGAAAGTAGGAGTTAGAGTATGAGTTGTACACAAATCAACAAACGTCTGTAGTTAGTTTGTGATCACACAAGTTAAGCTTTGAATAGATGAAGAAGCCCTAACTTGAGGTCAACACATAGACAATATACAGTGAGAAATGTACCTGATGAGAGAATGAGAGTCACAAACGCACAAGATGAAAATCAAACAAAAAGTAGAAGAAAAAACGATTCAAACATCACACAGGATGATCAGAGACAGCAACCACACAACACATAAAACCATAACAACTGTCACATAATGCTTGATGAATTTGATATGTGATTTGATGACCATCTAATATAGGGAAACCATATATGTACCTGTTCACAAACAAATTTAACAAAAACTTGTTACACACAACCCAAAGCAAACTCAAATAACAAGCCATGGGTTTGGCGTGTGGACTTGAGAAAACAACTTGGTCTTTGCAAGACTTCCACATGGCTCACTGCCTTTCAGCATCTTTGCGCACTCATCCCATGTTGAATGCTTACATCTCGACTTCTGTTTTACCTGCTTGCTTCTCAGAAAGCAAGAAGTCAATCATATCCCCCTTGTTTTGATTGGTCCACTTAGCAGTGCTCTTAGGTTTTGTAGTTTTTTTAGTGGCGTAGCAAGGTGATTTTTTTCATTGATTGTTCCTGTCAGCCTGAGTCTATAAAAGGTAGTCCTTTTAGTGGTCAGTACTCAATGAAGCTTATGAATCCTATTAAAACAAGTTATATGGGCTTTGTTACAATAGAGGTGATAACCCTTTATTGAGATAAATTTGAGCCAAGAGATGTTAGTTCTTTTAGTTATCAATAACTTCAGAATCTTGCCAAAATGTACTCAATAGATAGATGCTGAATGATCCAAGGTCTTCTACAGATGGGTACAGTATTATGCCTATCTCAGGGTGGTCTATATTCTGCTTTGATCAAAACTAGAAATACACTTCTTAGTTTGGAGGAAAGGTCTAGGAATAATGTTCAACAAGAAGCTTTCAAAAGTTTGTTAATAGATGGTCTTATTTCAAGCACTGTGTTCTTTTCAGGAAGATGATAAATGATAACAAATTAAATGGAAAACCATGATAGACAGAAAAATAAGAAGAATCAACAACGAGTAGATGAGTTCTAATTTAAAAGTATTTGGCTGGGTTTTTCATAAAATGTTATAGAGGTTCATCTCTAAAGGTTTAAATTTTGGTTTGTAATAATGTGTTTCCCTTTTCTTGGGGTGCGGAAAACCATTTCTTATATACTGCTTTCTGATCTAGTACATCAGGTTTTCTTTATGTGCCATCATAAGGGTTTCAAATCTGCTACACTGAAACCAGAAAAGGATGCACCCTGTGACAGATCAATATTGAGTCTTTGCAAAGGGTTGGCTCCTTTGAGCTTTGCTGTCATTGCCCAGGAGAACCCTTTACGCTGGTGCTGTTGTTCTGACAATGGGAGTATTGTCAAATACTCCTCATGGCTGACAGTTCCTCCAAGTCTCAGTGACTCTCAGTGGGCTTTTGTTCCTTTTTTCTTTACAAAGACAGTGCTCCATGTCTATATTAATATAGGACCCTTGGAGGTCTATAGAATTAGCCACATCAACCTGAAGATTCCAGCAAAACAACAAAATATTGAGTTTGACAAATTTGGCTGCACAACCTTGAGGTCTACACCTCAAAGTCCAACCAGAGTTGATGTACCAAACAGCAAAACATCAAGTGTACACTTAAGGTTGAACCTCACTGAACACACTCTTATGTGCCTTCAGATGCACAGTGAGTGATCAAAAAGCTACAGATTGTTTAAAAACAATCTGAATTGATAGGATGTTTTTTAACAGATTTGATTATAAATAAGGATAATCCAAGTGGTTTGTCCAATGTAGATAGATGAAAATGATTTCATGAATCTTGTTTTTCAGTATATATGAGGATATTAAGATAGCTTGTCGTTCAAGAAATCGATGAGCTCATTCAGCAAGGGTGTTGATTTCTCCTTGACTCTGAGAAAAACTTTGATACCACCTACCATTGACAATACTAAACACTTGAGTTTCTCAGGAGGGACAGCATTCCATGTGTCAGCTGTTATGCTAAGAATGTATTTTCAGTGTAGTGGCTGGATGGGCAACTGAGACTGTATGTTTAAGGTGAGATCAGATGATTCCAACTGCATTGAGGTCCAGTGATTGAAGTGACCATATGAACTTGGCAGTGTAAACTTGGTCATTCCAACAATGTGAGTCATTAAGTGTAGTATTGGTAAACCATGTGCTTCTGATCAATTCTTGAAAAAGTGTCAAATGATAGATTTCATGCTTCATTGATGCATGATTCAGAAATCATCCTTCCACAGCTCCATATCACTATACCAAGCTTGTTTGTGGCATAGAATGCACCCAATACCATCACACTTGAGAAAGCTGACATGTGATAAGCAAGTAGAGTTCTTGTTGATACCCCTCTCCAGCTGTTTTTTGTGAATGCTTACCCCCAGAAATTCTCCAATTTTGGAAGTTCATTCATTGTTTTGGACCATCAATATCCAGTTACTCATTGTATATTAGTGACACAGGGACAAGGAATTAATCCTGTCCATGACAAGTCAGGACAAGCGCGTCAGACAGTTGATAACAGAAGGGACAGTCTTGGCTTACAGGTGTCAGGACCTCACACTGGCCCTGCCATGGATTAGATAATAATCCAGACTGCGGACAAAATCCCTCCAAGAGTGTTTTCTCTCCTGTCTGTAGTTCATCAAATTTTGGCTCACTTGATTCTCTCCTGTCTCTTTCTCACATTCTAGTCTTACTTCCTAAGACCTTTTCCGCCTTGGGCTGGAGATCCTTTTTGAACCCACTGTATTTCATGCCCTACCCACCCTTTGGTTCAAATGGGATCTTCCCCAGTCCCATTGTCTGGCTGCTTCTCCCTGGGTA